AGCATGGAGCAAGATTGAGATGCCAAAGTGGCTCTGTGTGCTCCATGGTCCTCTGTACATGAAACCTCCTGTGTTTTCTGTTACTCTGACTCACAAAGGTATCAAAACAGGGCTGCTTACTCCCTGGTGTTTTTAAGAGATTCAATTAAAATGGCTTTTTCCATTTCAACCCAGAGTTTCCTCTTTCCTGGATGTAGTTGAGTCCATTGGGAGCTGAGCGGGGGTCAAATCTAGGGAAATAAACTCTTCCGCCACTCCAATGGCTACATTATGGAGTTAATCTTGTCTGCCTGGCTTCCTGTTCCCTTAGAATGAGCCTCTCCCAAGAAGAGGGAGGCTCCTGCAGGACTCACCCCATTCATCCTTCAGACAAGTCCAATTTATGCAAGAGTAGATAAAACTAGTTCAAACTGAACCCGGAGAACAGAGATCAGAATGTAAGAGCAGGCCAGGCGCGGCAGCTCATGCCTGTCATCCTAGCACTCTGGGTGGCCAAGGCAGGCGGATTGCTCAAGGTCAGGGGTTCAAAATAACCCTGAGCAAGAGCAAGACACTGTCTCTCCTAAAAAAAATAGAAAGAAATTAATTAGCCAACTAAAAATATACAGAAAAAATTAGCCGGGCGTGGTGGCACATGCCTGTAGTCCCAGCTACTGGGGAGGCTGAGGCAGGAGGATCGCTTGAGCCCAGGAGTTGGAGGTTGCTGTGAGCATGGCTGATGCCAAGGCGCTCTAGGCAGGGCAACAGAGTGAGACTCTGACTCAAAAATAGATAAATAAATGAAATTTAAAAATTACTCCAACTTAGATGCCGGCATCTGTCGGATCCTCTGAGCAACACGGATGTATGTGGGTTAGGTCATGGGCGGTCACGTGACGAGCTCTTTGTCAGAGTTCTCCGGTCGCATTTGGACGTTGCATAAGTTTTCTAAATCTGATCTATAGCTCCATCTGTTAGGTGGGTATTGTAGGCTTGATGTCTTCAGCTTTCTGAGCTGTAGACTATTTTAGAAATGACAGCTTCAGAAACAATAAGAGTTTGGATATCTGCCAATGAACATTCCCGAAATAAAGCCATACTCAAAAGACACTGTGACTTCAAGGGCCTTTTATTTATTTTTTTAATTCCTTTTTCTATCTTGTTACAAGAAATACAGTGGACCCTTTAAAAATCATGTTATAAATTAATCGGGCATCCTATAAAACTGAGAGTCAAAATTCTCAAGCTTCACCACCTAGACATGAACTCTCTAGGTATATCTTTACATTTAAGAGATGAATGCAGTTTGCTTTAACCAAATTATTTTTTATGTGAACACAGATTCCTATACGAAATGTTATTTTTAGGCCGGGCATGGTGGCTCATGCCTGTAATCCTAGCACTCTGGGAGGCCAAGGTGGGAGGATCGCTCAAAGTCAGGAGTTCAAAACCAGCCTGAGCAAGAGAGAGACCCCCGTCTCTACTAAAAATAGAAAGAAGTTAATTGGCCAACTAAAAATATATAGAAAAAAATTAGCTGGGCATGGTGGCGCATGCCTGTAGTCCCAGCTACTGGGGAGGCTGAGGCAGGAGGATCGCTTGAGGCCAGGAGTTTGAGGTTGCTGTGAGCGAGGCTGACTCCACGGCACTCTAGCCCGGGCGACAGAGTGAGACTCTGTCTCAAAAAAAAAAAAAAAATGTTATTTTTATCATTTAATAGAAACACCAAATATCCATTTCAATATAAGGGAAAAAATTTTTAGTTGGTCAAATCTTTTTTCCAGAACCACATAGCTAAAATTTTCTCTATGTTCTCCTTGAATTGCTGCAAAGACCTGAAGTCAATCTCCTAAAGCCATCTCAGATAAATGGAGAATGCGGGTTAGAATAAGAAGCCAATATGGGCCGGGCGCGGTGGCTCATGTCTGTAATCCCAGCACTCTGGGAGGCTGAGGTAGGCAGATCGCTCGAGGTCAGGAGTTCGAAACCAGCCTGAGCAAGATTGAGACCCTGTCTCTACTAAAAATAGAAAGAAATTAATTGGCCAACTAATATATAGAGAAAAAATTACCCAGGCATGGTGGCGCATGCCTGTAGTCCCAGCTACTGGGGAGGCTGAGGCAGGAGGATCGCTTGAGGCCAGGAGTTGGAGGTTGCTGTGAGCTAGGCTGACGCCACGGCACTCTAGCCTGGGTAACAAAGTGAGACTGTCTTAAAAAAAAAAAAGAAGAAGAAGAAGAAGTCAATATGTTGGGTCCCCTAGAAAATGTCCTTTAGCCAATCAGAGCCAAATGCTCAGAAATGCTTTTGCTACATACCCTGAAATAGTCCCCGCCCCTCCAGAGACTTGGAGAGACGGTGGCTTCCACACTTCTAAGGCCAGAAGGGCAGTCAGTCACAGCCCACCCGGTCAGCCTTCCTCTGAGCAGCCTGCTCACATCCTAGACCTTGGCCAAGAAAAAATAACATCCCATTGTCTGAGGCAAAAACAACCTCCCATCCTTCTAGCCTGGCCCTGGACAGGCAGTCTGGAGCAAGAAATCCCGCCCCTAGAGAGGCAAAGCAGTCCCAGCTGGGCCTTGACTCGTTTTCCGTTCCCAGGCAAATTGCCCAGCTTCCTCCACTCACCAATTTCCCAACTGCAAAATAGAGATAATTCTCCTGATACCTTTCTCTCGCGGCGTTCTGAAAATAAATAGGGCAAATGTTTCTAAAGTGCTTTGAGAGATCTGGCGAAAGGCGTATTTGCCTTCAACTCTGCAGGAGGGGTTTTTGTTTATTTTTGTTGTGTTGTGTTTTTATGGGTGTGTTTGGCTTTGGGGCAGACTGGCATAAATTCAGAAAATGGAAATTAAATTAGATGAAAACCACTCATCTCACGTTGATGGAGCATTTACAATATGCTAGGCATCTGGAGAACATAGAAGGGCAAATCCTAACTTCTTTTTTTTTTTTTGACAAAGTCTTACTCTGTTGCCCGGGCTAGAGTGCCATGGAGTCAGCCTCGCTCACAGCAATCTCTAACTCCTGGACTCAAGCGATCCTCCTGCCTCAGCCTCCTCCCGAGTAGCTGGGACTACAGGCATGGGCCACCATGCCCGGCTCATTTTTTCTATGTATATTTTTAGTTGGCCAATTAATTTCTTTCTATTTTTAGTAGAGATGGAGTCTTGCTCTTGCTCAGGCTGGTTTTGAACTCCTGACCTTGAGCGATCCTCCTGCCTTGGCCTCCCAGAGTGCTAGGATGACAGGCGTGAGCCACCGCAAATCCTAACTTCAAGGAGCTTACAACTTGCTCAGAAATAGGTATTATAGTATGTATATTATACTTATAGTATATATATAGTAATATACTTATAGTATATTATAGTATATATAATAGTATATATAGTGTATATATATTATATACTTATAGTATATATAGTGTATATATATACTATATATACTTATAGTATATATAATAAATAGGTATTATACTTATAGTATATATATTATACTTATAGTGTATATATATATAGTACGTATATTACACGTACACACAAACATTTATATATAATAGAGGTATTATAGCTCAGAAAGAGGTATCAAAGTGAGTGACACAGTGTGGCCATGAGAGCTGCTTTAAAACCCACTCTGCAAGTTCCAGTTGGAGACCCTAGAAAAACCACTCAGCTTTCCTAAGCTTTGCTTTTCTCTTGCACAAACCTTTCCTTGGGGGCCTACTAGGTGTGTGTGGGGGGGGTGTTCTATGCAGTTGACTTATATTAACTTACTTAAAACTCAGAACAGGCTGGGTGTTGTGGCTCACGCCTGTCATCCTAGCACTCTGGGAGGCCGAGGCGGGAGGATCGCTCAAGGTCAGGAGTTCGAAACCAGCCTGAGCAAGAGCGAGACCCCGTCTCTACTATAAATAGGAAGAAATTCATTGGCCAACTAAAAATATATATAGAAAAAATGAGCGAGGCATGGTGGCGCATGCCTATAGTCCCAGGTACTCGGGAGGCTGAGGCAGGAGGATCGACTGAGCCCAGGAGTTTGAGGTTGCTGTGAGCGAGGCTGATGCCACGACACTCTAGCCTGGGCAACAGAGTGAGACTCTGTCTCAAAGAAGAAAAAAAACTCAAAACAACCACCAGAGATAGATAGATACTATTATCGTTTCCATATTGGTATTCCCATCTTATAAGTAAGGACACTAAAGCTTAGAGAGATTATGGGACTTGGCCGGGGCCATGCAGTTAGGAAGCAGGGAAGCCAGGATGCAAACTAAGCCAAGCTGCTTGGCCTCAACTTCTGCAGCCTTCACCGTGGTACGACATTGCCCTTCAAATGGGGACATGCGAAGACTTATGTCAGATAGACCGCTGAAGATCAGCTGATATGACACATACAAAGCTGTTAGCACGGTGTCTGACACATAATAAACGTGCAACAAATGAGGAAGTAGCAGCAAAAGAGATTAGACACGTATAAAAATAACCAGAACGCCAAGGCAAAAATAAGTGCACTCCTCCAGTCTATTTTGCAGGGAAAGCTCCTTCTTCTAGAACATTCTAACCATGGGGGTACAGTGATGAGCTGTGTTTGGGGTAGAACACCCATAAATGGCGATATTTCTGAGTGGGCTTCCAAATGATCTATAATAGAAGGAGTTGATGGTTCATACGTCCGGAAATTTCTGAACGCTTGCAAAGAAGGTCGAAGTATCTGAAGGACCCTGTCATTAAAATTCGGACTGTCTTTTCGAGAACAATCTGCAATCAAGCTTGTGCAAAAATGCATCGGCTGCAGTTGCTCCTCTTCCCTGCTTGAACCCCTAGTCCCCCGTGGGCTTTATTTAGGAAGCAACAACAGCATGGATTTCCTTTTCAGAGTCTTAAAATAAAAATCCCCAAAAAAGAGGACGCTGCTTATAAAATCTTTCAGAGTTGTTTGAAAAAGGAAGAAAAAAAAAAAAAAAAAACGCATGCAGAAGAGAGAGCCAAGTGCTCGTGTTCTGGCCAAGTTATAAGCGTCTGAGAACAAGAGCAGGAGGGGGGGGACTGTTAACCCCATCCCTGTCCAGATCATTAGCTCTTTCCTTTTGCTTTGCACTAAGCTCATCCTCCCAGAGCGAGCCCGGCCTGCCAGGGAAATCCAGGAATCTGCAACAAAAACGATGACAGTCTGAAAACCCTCCCTGGTGCCAACCTCCAAATTCTCATCTGTCACTTCCCCAGACCCTGACTAGTTGACAGAGCAGCAGAATTTCAACTCCAATAGACTTGAATGTGCTTCTGGGCAAAGAAGCAGAGCTAACCAGGAAAGGGGTTTAAAGAGTTTTTCTCTTGGGTATTTGTCAAACTTTTATTGCCTGGCTGCGTGCAAAGAGGGGACCCAACTTCGGTTTTCTCCTGAGGCTCTGGATCCAGCCACTTACCTGAAGGTAAATACATCTTAATAATGTCACTGTGTTGTGTGATGGCATTTGTTAAACTGATTTGCATGAGCTGTTAAGGCTGTCTAATCTTTTTGCCTAAATAATACAGAATCATCAACTTTTTGTGTTGATTCACAGAAAAGCCACTTCATGGGGGAATTTTACTGTTTGTATTCGTGTTTCCTTTTTTTCCTCCAAGATTAAATAGCAAATACTAATAAATGGTGATGGTTTTAGTAAAGACCCAGGACAGAAATGCAGAACTGTGGTTAGCCCGAGTAGCACTCAGATCTTGGGGAAGCCCAAATCCCAGAATGTGTTTTGTAGAAATACTTTACTAACGTATAAAAGAAACCATAAAGAAAGTAGTTTTAAAAAAAAGCTTTCAAAGAAAATAATCTGTATATTTTCCATGCTTATAGTATCTAAATTTCTTTAATCACTTCTGTAGTCCCATTCTGGACCTAACATAATGTAGAAATGGAATATTTAGCTTTTCCAAAAGCTCTAATAGCATATGCTTGTTTGATTATTTCTGAGTTCGTTGTGATCGTTTGTTATCGATTTCCTGACTGCCTTTTATAGCTTTATAACTAATTGTGCCTTGCCTCCTACTCAGCATTGTTAAGATGCACACACACATAGATGTAAAATTTCTCTAATTCTTAATAATGCTTTACTTACAAAAGCAAAGGGAGTTAAAGAGCTTAAGAGATTATGACGACTCTTATTATAAGGTCCTATCATGTCTGATTCTCTCTTCTAAAATAAAAAACAATCATGCAAATTGTGCTTATTCATTTCTGCCCGGTATAAAAGATTACACTGCAGGAGAAAACCACACTCTCAAATGCACATTAATACTGTTGAAACTGTACCCCAGGAGGTACTGCAGAGAGAGTATCTCTTTTGCACTGCCTTCCATCTGCAGAGGTTAAAAATGTCACCTTGTCATTGTATCTGAACTCTCCTCTGGCCCTGGGCCTAAGCACACTGAATAGAAATGTTCACTCAGTCCAACTCAGCAGAAATCTTTTTTTTTTTTTTTTTTTTTTTCAGTTCTCCCTTTTCTCATAGATACCAGCTTTTTTCACAGTTCACAGTTTACTTAGTTAAACCTTAGTGGTTATGACTATGGTTAAGTATGATTTAAAAAAAAAAAAGAAGATATCCCTCTTTGGAAAGATTTAAGTTTATATTGCTGTTCATTCAATGAGACCTAGCAAAGCAGAGTCGTCTATTTCATTCAGTTGTCATCCAATCAACGAATGCTGCTTTGCACATTTTGGAAAAGAATAATATATGTGTTATTCAGGAATCTTGCTTTTTTTTCTTCCAGAGAATTTTTGTACAGCCACTGAGCAGTTAGATTCTTGGGGTTTCTTTTCCAAGTCCTTCAGGATTTAATTGCCAGTAGGCTCTCATGCTGCAGTTTCACTTAACAACCAAGTAAAAATAATAAATAGTGATGACATAAACGAAATGAGCAGGGATATAGCTAGACAACCCCAAAACATTATGCATTTCATTTCCTCCTGACTGGTATTTTTACTCAGTTCATTTGAACATTGCTATTTTAGTTAAGTTTATTCCAATGTCCGGAACCCGTTAAGAATATTTTTCCACCAAGCAGAACATAAATAACTTGCTAAAAGGCTTGAGGTGTGCTTTGCCTTCACATATCATTCTGGAAGGATCTTTGGGGGGTTGTGGGGGAGATCCCCATAAATCCAAGAGGATTTCTCTGGAAGGGCCTGGCTGCCCAAGACATGTCCAACCAGGCCAGGGGCTGGTTTTTACAGGGTTCAAAGGGCATTTTCTGAGCTTGTGATGGTAGCACCACCTTGGACTGGCCTGGCTTTTGTGTTAGGCATCAAAAAATGGACAGAACTTTGGAAAACAGAATGTGTAGTCTTGACTAATTGCTCCAAAGGTAGACAGACAGTCTAATAAAGTGAATAGGACCTTGGGCTCTGGTTCATACCTGACCATATAGAACTAACTGGTTTATATAAGACAATATAGACCTAGTTTACATCCAAGCTTTACCACCATATAGCTCTGTGACTTCGGGCAAACAACTTAACCTCTCTGTGCCTGAGTCTTTGCATTTATGGAAACGGGATCCTAAAATTAGGAGCTACCTGAGAGATTTGTTATAAGAGTAAGGGATGCCGGGCGCAGTGGCTCACGCCTGTGATTCCAGCACTCTGGGAGGCCGAGGCGGGAGGATAGCTCGAGGTCAGGAGTTCGAGACCAGCCTGAGCAAGAGCGAGACCCCGTCTCTACTAAAAATAGAGAAATATAAAAATATTTAGAAAATATATAGAAATAAATTAAAATATAGAAAAATATATAGAAAATATATAAAATATATAGAAATATAAATATATAGAATATATAAAAATATATAGAAAATATATATAAAATATATAGAAATAATTAGCAGGGCATGGTGGCGCATGCCTGTAGTCCCAGCTACTTGGGAGGCTGAGGCAGGAGGATCGCTTTAGTCCAGGAGTTGGAGGTTGCTGTGAGCTAGCCTGATGCCACAGCACTCTAGCCAGGGCAACAGAGTGAGATTCTGTCTCATTAAAAAAAAAAATAAGAGTTAAGGGAAGAAAACTGCTATGCTTGGTACATTAAAGCAATCAATTAATCATGGCTAATATGAAAGTACTGGCCTGCCTCTATGTCCCTATTGAAACTCTGTAAAAAGGAAATAGACAATAGATTTTCCCTCATGGTTTCTTCCTTGTACTTATACATTTTGCTCTCTAATAGCAGAGTGGACAGAACTTGGGTTCAGGGCTTAACGCACCTGGGCTGGAGTCCCAACTCTGCCTCCTACAAGCTGCGTGAGCCTGGTCTGTCCCTTCAGACGCCCAGGACTCAGTTTACCCACCTGTAAAGCAAAACGGCGATCATCATACCTACAGATGGGGCTGCTGTAGGAATCAAACGAGAGGTTTATTCAGTGCCAAGTATAGTAGCTGGCACATGGCTAGGCACACAGGAAATTTTACTCATTGCTTAGAAGAAATCTCATGTATCAGCACGGTGTCTGTTCATGGGCATTGCGTGATTTTTCTGGTGGTAACGTTGGTGATCAAGAAGGAAATGTTCTTCGGACTGTCTTATTGGAAGTGCAAAGAGATATCAAAATAAATCAGACAACTACTATTTTACCCTGGGTGCAGGGAAGGCTCAAGTGAGGTGTTTATTACTGTGAGTCTTTACTGTTTCACCAGTTAGTATCTTCTTAATGGCCAAGTCAAATGGAACCCAAGAGAAGGTTCTGTTTCAGCTAGCCGCCCCCCCCCCCAAGGGGGAAGAAGTGCTGCTTTGCGGTCGATTCTGTTTTATTGACCCACTTGGACAGAGAAGCAGCCCCCCAACATTTTGTCTTTCTTGTACTTTCTAAAGGCAAGAATAGGGCTTTTGACTTGCTCTAAGGGGGTATTTTTTTTTCCTTCTCTAACTCAAATCCAAGCGAAAGAGTTTTTTTGTTGTTGTTGTTGTTGTTGTTTTTGTCTTTGTTTTTTTTGTTGTTGTTTTTGTAAACCTCTCCCCATGTTCCTAGCATTCAAATGTCAGCTGCTTTTTCTGGCAGCCTGGAGCGGCAGCCTGTCGTCATAGCAATGGAAGGGTCTAGAGAAAGTCCTGCTTCATGGCCTGATCTGGGAAATAACTCTTAGTCTGCTCAACAAAAAAAAAAAAAAAAATCCTTCTTTAGAAATGAAGTCTCCAGGCCTGGCTGGTTTCCTTCCTATTATGCAACCAATTTAGGTACAGCAACTGCAGTAGCTAAATGTTTTCTTTAAAGACTTAGTGAATAGGTGTTTTTAAGAAATGAACAAGAGCTCTAAAACAGCAGCCATTTTACTATGGAGCACAGGGGGGGAAATTGGGAAAGCAAAGGAAGAGAGATAGAAATGGCCTCCCTGGATAGCCCATGCCACACACCCTGCCAAAACCCCATCTTCCTAGTCCCCACTGTGTCCCCCATGGGTGACCTGGGACAATTCTGGGGCAGGCTGCCTGGACTTGAACCCTGGGCCTCATACTTTCTGGTTTGTTTTTATTTTTTGTTTTTTTGAGACAGAGTCTCATTCTGTTGCCCAGGCTAGAGTGTCGTGGCATCAGCCTAGCTCACGGCAACCTCCAACTCCTGGGCTCAAGCGATCCTCCTGCCTCAGCCTCCCGAGTAGCTGGGACTACAGGCATATGCTACCATGCCTGGCTAATTTTTTCTATGTATTTTTAGTTGGCCAATTAAAATTTCTTTCTATTTTTTAGTAGAGACAGGGTCTCGCTCTTGCTCAGGCTGGTCTCGAACTCCTGAACTCAAACAATCCTCCTACTTCAGCCTCCCAGAGTGCTAGGATGACAGGCGTGAGCCACCGCACCCGGCCCCCTCTTTATTTTTCTAATGAAAAGATCCTCAACCAAAGATTTTGGCCAACCTAAACGCACAAATGGATGCTGTCATGTCATATATACTCGGGATATTTAATCTATGGTTATACATACACCATTAAAATGTCATTTTACTTTGAATATTTTAAACTTGTAAAACTGACTTTTTTTTTTCTCTCTTTTTCAAATTTCACCAAACGGTTTTGTTAAAACTCTTCATACGCATTTTAAATCACGGATTTGCTCACTGGATCCACTCTGTAATTATCTAATACTGAGCACCGTCGTCAATCCTTATGCAAGTTGTTTATAACACACGCATATTAAAAATTTGCTGATGCCATGAATTTAATCCTCATCTTGTGCTAATGCTCTCCACGTATTAATTACTTACTATATTGCTTTTGCCACTGCTCTTTAAAGGGCTTATTTAAAGCCACCTGAATCTTTAAGTCCGGTTTTCTAAACCAGTATAATTGCAACACTTATAATAATGAAGTCATCCCTCAAGAACAATGACTAAGTCTGTTTTAAATATCTTTATCTCCTTTTTCCATCCACTGTCAGGACATCTTGATTACTTGCCA